CGCTGCGGTCAATTTGTAGGAAAATCCAATAGGCAATTTTTCACACTGTATTCTCTGGCAGTAACCTAATAGGAAAGCCATCAACATTTCGGCACTGCGAAGGTTATGCTCCAAAACACGATCAACTGCCTTGAAGAAAGGCCTGGAGACATAATAGCCACTCCAGTAATCCTGTTGCCTGTCAGCATAAGTGAAGAAATCACCTGACAGAGAAGGGAATCCCCCAATCTCACCAGATCCAATCTCATGTGGACGAGAATAGTTTACTCTGTCAGCCTCATCACGTAGTGTTCGGAAATAATCATCCAAAGTACCAAAATTAGCCTCTGCATTCAAGCCAGGGTTGGAATTGATATAATCAAACAGCATTTGGTAATTCCGAAACTGAGCTTCTGCTTCATCAACACTGACATAACGGAAATCATCACCTAGAGGAACAAGAAGTGTATTTGTTCGATATAGTGTTGATTTCTTTCTATACTGATCCAAAAGTTTAAGTGCTCTTTCCTTCACATTTTCCTGGGTGGTCTCCTCGGGATGCTCTCCCCAAGGACATCGTTCATAAGGAAACCCATACATTCGAGCAAAGTCAAACTGACAACAAATTGCAGGCTCAGGTCCACAAGTATGTGGAACATCATAGGAATAAAATGGCATCATATGGACAAAAATATCAGTTCTTTCTTCGGCATCCCAGCTCTGTCGCCACACATATTCCAAATTCTGGTTTAAAGCCAGTTCCTTCTTCAACTCATAATGAGTCCTCTGTATTAGCATGTTCTCAAAACCCATACGCCGCAAAAGATATGCCATAGTTGGTGAATAGCCGAAGGGATCAATGGCCCAAGAATTTTTAGGAATTACACCTATAGTCTCATTCAACCACATATTTCCTTCTGTAATCTGAGCATAAATGCAAAAAATCGAGATCTAGATTAGTGAATAGTACAAAATGAAATGAGCAGCAAATGAATATGAGACCAATATGAATTGAGAAGAAAGCAGAATGACCACCAAGAAATGCAAAACAAGGTAGAAAAAACACTTCATCTCCAATTCAATAAAAAAGTTGATCCAAATCAAGTTAGATTGGCAAATAAATTAGCAACAATCAAGTGACTAACTAGAGTCAAACAACGAATCTTTTCTTGATTGTTAGTCAAACGACATAAAACCTACAAAAATGAATCTGAAACTGTCATGAATACCATATACCAGAAGAATTAAGTTGCCTGTAATAACTGATACCCCATTGGTTAATCTAATGATTAATAACTATAGGAAATTTCCTGTAACATATTTTTAGAGAAAAGGATTGGATGAATTTAAAAGTTTTAAGCTGTGACTGTTTCATATGTAAGCGGTATCCTTTTTGATAAATATATAAAGTAAAATATATCAATTTTACATTGGGTATGTTGTTGTCGTTCTTGTATGTAAAGTAAAACCTACCAGTTCATATCCAATTCTAGCCTCTATGAGAATTTCTATATCTCATTAATTTTCTCAAAATGAGCTATTATCTACCCCAGAGTTAAAATATTGCATGTCACGCTATTCCTTACGGTATACATCTAATGAGTAATAATTACATGTCAAGTATTCCAGCAATAAGCAACCATACAACAAAAATGTTGAGAAAAATTCTAACATAATATTTTGAGTGACAAAATCACAATAGCACTACCCTAAATTAGAGAAATATCAGTCTCGATTTCAAACACTAGTATTCTAATCTGTTGTAAATTATAAATCATTAGCAAAAAGAGCTTAGATATCCTATATTACAACCAAATGGAGAAAATAATCTCTGTTTTTTCAGTTTATACAATTCTTACGTGCATGATCTTGTAAATATGTAAAGATACCAAGACAGTGAATAATAAACAGAAAATTTCTTGTTTACCTGTTCAATAATTGCAAAGTAATGTGAATTAGCCTGCAGAAAAGGGAAAAATTGAAAGGGCGTAAGTCAACCATTATGGCATAAAATTGCCAAAGCTCCATTTATTCAGAACAAATTTGAATCCTTCAAAAGCAATTACAATTATCCAAACATCTGTATTTGAATGAATTTTTCTGATAATCCTGCCATTTCTTTTAAATATTTGACCCAAATTATGCACCGAAAAAGCTTAGTGCGACTTCAATTATAGGAAGAATCATGTCTCCCTCATAATAAGCTGTCAAATTTAAACACTTCCGACTTTTTCTTTAATCCGCATTTTCTATTGTTTCAATGCTGTATAACATCAATGGAGGTTTACCTCATCATTCATCACCCAACCACCTCCAACAATTTCTAGCTGCCCATTCCTCACTAGATTGGTAAATGCCTCTTTCTTATCGTTGGTTGCATCCCTCCACCATCTCTCCAGATAGGACATCTCTTCCCATATAAATTTTCTCCGGGAATCCTAAAAGAAACAGAATTCAACAACCAACAAGTTATTCAGAAATTTAACATCCATACCATAATAAGCAATGACAACAAATACCACTACTAATATGCCTCAATCTCAAACTAGTCCAGGCCTGTTATACTAATGTCAGTAATCATTCTGCTCCATTTGTCCCAGTTTCATTCCAATAATCAATAAAGGGGTTCTCGAAAAATAGCATTGTTTAAGCTCGTACATAAATCAAGATCAATTAAAGCGATCAGATCAAATTAAAAAATCGTAGTTCAATCCAAACGATCTAAATTTATCACATGATGAAAGTTAACACTAGACTTGACGCTGAAATTACCTTTGGAAGTGTTTCAACAAGGGTATCTAGGATGTGCTTGGACTGTCTATCATAATACTCCTCAACCGTAAGCTTCCAACCAGGATCATTATGCGAATGTGGGACAACAAATATTTTCAACTTCTCCGAATCCCATTCATTGCCTTTGTAGTTCACGTTCCAACCCTGCTTCCAAGCGCCACCATCTTCATCCAAAAACTGAATCTTATCGTACAAGTCCTTTGTGGTGATATCAACAACCGCACCTGACACAGCGTCGCTACCAGGAGATTTCCGGTAAGTGGGCTTCCTGAGTCGATGGAATCTGGTTCGGGCAGCCCGGAAATGGGATGAGAGAAGGGGTTTAGGGACTCCATAGCTGTATACGATGAGAATGAAGATGAAGAGTGAGAAAGAGAGGCCTATGGTGAAGAAATTTGAAAGGAAGAAGTCTCTGAGGGCTGTACGTCTGCGGGATTTACGAGGTTGTCGGGAAGATGATTTGCTGGTGGGGAGGAGTGAATGGGCCCACCCAGTTCCGCCTCGGCGGGAGGAAAAGGCCATGTGTAAGGGCGGCGATGAGCGGTGGAGGACTCAGATCTGCTGAAATTGAGTGATCGGAACTGTATCCCAAGTACTGAGTCCAGTGGTATGAGAACTGAGAAGGAAGACTTGCTCTACTTTTACACCTAAAATTAGGCAGAACTTTGATATTTTATCAATTCACAATGATCACCTACCAATCTCAATTCAGCTAAAGCTATGTTTGGATAATTAATATTATTTCCATTTTCCATTTTATACGTCGTTAGTACTATGAATAGATTTATCATCTATTAATATCAAAATTATTTTATTCATATTTATGTCATCCTAACCTAGCTTAATATTTGTTACGCCTTTGTTATTTTACAAAGTTAATAATATTGTATTTATTAAATTAGTAAAGTAATATATATCAATATAAAAACAATGTTACATTACACCTTGTTTGGATGGTTGTTGAAAGTTGTATGGTTACTTAAATTCTATTGAATCGTATTATTTAAATTTATTGTTTGATAGCGACGAAAAGATTCATAAAATGACTGATTTGATGTGATCATATTATTACCTTAATATATTACTCCTTATTTTATCTTTATTTATTATTTACTAATCATATTACATCTTTTTAATTCAACATTTTCATGGCAACTCTAACTCGTATCTTGCTTTTCTTATAGATTTATCATTCAAATTATGGATGTGTGATACTATAGCGATGGACATGATACAATATATTCAAATATTGTATTCATTTAAACAATACATCTGATACAATACGATACATTATGGAACAATACTTTTTTGGGGTGGGCCAATGGTTTGGCTTGGGATTTCCATGTTGGATGTCTCAAGTCTGAAACACATTGTCAGCAAAAGTAACGGGTTTGTTTTTTCGGTCAAGCTTGTCACAACGGGTTTGCTTAGCGTGGATTAACTCTCCTATGTGATTCGCAAGTTATTGCAAGCTCGTCACACCGAGCTTGCTTAATGTAGCTTACCTCTTTTATGTGATTTGCAAGATATTATAAATTCGTCACACTGGTTTGCTCAGTGTGGGTTACCTCCCCTATGTGATTTGCGAGCTATTACAAGTCTGATGTCTAAAGCGGATTGTCTCTCCTATGTGATTTATAAGCTATTGCATAAAAGTATAGGTTTACTCGAAAAATAATATTAGTACCATCCAAACAAAGTGCTAGTATATGCATATTACGTTAGTTATAAAAAGTGTTTAAAAAAAATAAAATTTTTTGTTATTTTGATAATAGATATTAAAAAGTGTAAAAAAACGAAGAGAAGATATTTAGTTATTTCTTCAACAATACTATCCATAAATTATATATATTATTTCTTTCTCATATGTTTAATCAAATATCGCATTATTATTAATCATATAAAGTTAGATCTCTCCAACCATAAATCATAGTACTATTTTATACAAATTATTTAATGAGACTATGTGTCTTAATACTTCTAATGGACAAAAAAAAAAGGATTACTGGATTAATAAATAAATAAACTTCAAAAGAAGGTATAGAAGAAATGTGCATAAGAAGTTGATTTAATTTAAAAGGCATTTTTAGCAGTAAAAAACACTTAAATTATCAACCCCTCTCTCTCTCTCTCTCCAGCTTCGACGCGAAGAAGCCATTCTCCTCTCTATCGTGTTTGCATCCAGAATTTTTCTGTTACAGGTAAAACAATCCCTTTTTCCCCTTCATTTGCTTACAATTGAGATCTGTATTTGAGCATTATTTTTGCATTCGCTTTATTCGGTTTGGGTCTACCCGGTTTAAGATCCACGCAGAAATCCCAGATCTAGTTTGGCATGTATCTTTTTTATTTGTTTTGGTACCCTCAATGGATGTAATTTCGCCCATATGTATCGTTTTTAGCTAATACCGTTCTGTTTTATGTGTCTGATCTTCGGCGATCCGCGAATTGGTTGTTTATTATCCGGAAATCCTAATCTGAATTTTGGGGGAAAGCGGCTTAGAATCGGATCAGTTTCGATTCAATATTACATTAAGGTATGCCGGAGAAATGAATAGAAGTAGGAAATAGAAGATGAAAGATTGTTGCTTTTTATAAGACAATAGTGCAAACCATTTTTAACTGGGGTTAAACTGTCTTAGAACCTCGTGTGTTAGTAGTAAAGAATTCTGAAGTAGACACATCTTATTGAGCATGGAGAAGTATAAGGAATCCCAGTTTTGCTCTTGGGAATTGCTTGTTTCCCCTCCCCAAGTGTTTTATGGTATCTTTGTGTTAATTGATCGACTGTTTAAGTATCCTTGTCTTTATGGTATCTTTATGTTAATTGATTGACTGTTTATGTATCTTTGTCTTATGCGGTAAACTATAGAGTAGAGGTCTTGTAAGTACTGTAAGATCTTGTAGCAATTGTTTTTTGCTGAGGGCTTGAGTATTTATTAGGGAATAGATGTGGAAGCTTATAACTTGTTGGACTTTTGCATCTTCTGCAATAAGGGTTTTCTTTAAATGTTACCAATAGGATCAATTTCTCTGCCATATTATTGTCCACAAACAAGATATTCTATTTCTTCTCTTGGCTTAGTGTGGGAAGCTATTGAAACACTACCCAAAGAGATCTAGCAGAACAGATAAAAATGTGTCTATTTAGTTTTCTACAATTGATGAAAGCATAGGTAGATTTGAAGTCTAGTTATGTCCCATGAAGGAAATCTTCTATAATCTGCTATATTTATATCTATGAAAACCCTTTCTTATTTCATGACTCATGCTTATATAATAATATAAACCTTTATTGGAAGTCATCTCTAAAAAAATTTATCATTGTTATCCACTCTGCATAGTAGTCAATTTAGGAGAATCACTTATGTTGGAAAACATAGTTATATTATATTCAGGAGTATCCTAATGAATTTAGCTGATATTTCACAATAATATTATCTTTGATTGGATCGATGATCAATTTAGTATTTTCATCTCAATGGAGTACCTTTGCAGTTAATAGCAGTCTTGTCTGCAACGCAAGGACATTGGAACACTTACGAGTATTATGTTAAAAAAAGAGTGTAGAAGCCAACTCTAATATTTGTTACTAAAACTAGGAATCCTGATCTGGGCATCTTAACTAATTATTGGTGAGAGCAACAAGTAGAATACTGGGGTAGAGGAGAGGATTTGGATTTGCACTTTTGGGCCCATAGACTATCTAGTCATTAGCTAGTTTTAGTTATCAAGTACTTTGGTGTGTACTTTGTTGCCTTAAAAATCTCTTTCCATCTTAAAAGGGTTTATGAATTAAGCTACATTCTTTTCCTGTAGTAATTTCCCTATTATGTATAGATATATTGGATCAATTGAATGCTGAATATGAGTTATATGTTAGCTAATCCATATTGTGTTTAGATTCTTTGCCTCCTCAAATCAACTCCTATTACCTTTTAGTTACTTTTGACCTATTTAATCCTTCCCCCCTTCCCCTTTTGCAAATATAACATGTTCAGCAATAAACCATTTGTCTTTTCTTCATTATGCCTGCATTTATGATAAAGGGGAAGGTTTCTACTATATCTTTCTCTCTGGTGTATTGAAACGAACAAGCTCAAAACCATGACACGAGAAGCTCATAATATTATTTTCTCTAAAAAAATTGTATTTGCAAAGATTAATTCACCTGAAGGCTCTTATGTTATTACTTTGGCTTATTTACAATATATACATTTTTTTAAGTTTGTTTGTTGTTTGAGTTGCATTTCTGTTCTTAGGCTTTTGAACTGATTTTGGAAGAAGAGTCTCTCTTCTTTTCTAACCAAACAGGGGGTGGGGAATAGGTATTCTCTTCAATGTTTTATCTTTTTAACTGACATCTATACTAACATTGTATATGAGCATAAATGCAGTAGCTGTGAGATATCAGTAGCGGCAACAGAAAATGCCAGCCCAGAAGATTGAAACTGGTCACAATGACACAGTTCACGATGTTACTATGGACTATTATGGAAAACGTGTGGCTACAGCATCTTCTGATACCACCATAAAAATAACTGGTGTGAGCAACAATGCTGCTTCGCAACACCTTGCTACGTTGAGTGGCCATACGGGCCCTGTTTGGCAGGCTGGCTGGGCTCACCCCAAATTTGGCTCAATCCTTGCGTCCTGTTCCTATGATGGTAAGGTAATAATCTGGAAGGAAGGCAATCAGAATGAGTGGGCACAAGCTCATGTTTTTAGCGAGCACAAATCATCGGTTAATTCCATCTCCTGGGCTCCTCATGAACTTGGGCTTTGCTTGGCTTGTGGTTCTTCTGATGGTAATATTTCAGTGCACACCGCCAGGTCAGATGGTGGTTGGGACACTACAAGAATTGACCAAGCTCATCCAGTTGGGGTAACATCAGTTTCATGGGCGCCTTCAATGGCTCCTGGTGCTTTAGTTGGTGCAGGTGTGCTTGAACCTGTTCAAAAGCTGGCATCTGGTGGATGTGATAACACTGTTAAAGTTTGGAAGTTGTATAATGGTGTTTGGAAGATGGATTGCTTCCCTGCACTTCAGATGCACACTAACTGGGTGAGAGATGTAGCTTGGGCACCAAACTTGGGACTTCCAAAGTCAACAATTGCTAGTGCTTCAGAGGATGGTACGGTTGTCATATGGACTGTGGGAAAGGAGGGAGATCAGTGGGAGGGCAAGGTTCTAAAAGACTTCAAATCTCCTGTTTGGAGAGTCTCATGGTCTCTTACCGGAAACTTGTTGGCAGTTGCAGCTGGGGATAACAATGTCACTTTGTGGAAAGAAGCTGTTGATGGGGAGTGGCAACAGGCCTCCACTGTTGACCAATAGAGCTGGAACTTGGGAAGTAATAGAATTCATGTTTTTGTGTTCTCTTTCTACCATTCAGACCTTTTTCCTAGCTGAGGCCTGAGTGAGAGTTAGCCCTTTAATTAAGGACTGTTTACTTTGATTTGATTCTTCTCGTTTACTCAGTATGCATTCAATTTCACTTCAGCTATAGACCTTTTTCTTTCTGCCTGTTTTGTGTATGCCTTTTTATGTTGAATTTTCAATATACTTGGTGATTAAATGTGTCAGGTTTTATTATATGACCACTTTTTGACTATGCCATGGAATTGTCATTTCCCTCTCCCATAATTTATATTGTTGGGGGAAAATATGATATTTATAGCCATGGAAAAAATTTGAACCGAGTAGATTTGATGTATTCGTGTAACATATTTTTACCTGCTCCAGCTTGAATTTAGATAATGCTATGTAACTCATCTTGATCTAAATAAACTTCTCTATTAAGGTGACTGTTGATATTAAATGTGAACTTCTTTTTTCTAAATTAATATTATTTAAGAGGGATGTTAATACAGTCTAAACCTCTGTGCATAACAATCTCGCTTGTTAAGAGAATTTTTGTCTATTAGGGTAGGTATAAGGAATAATAATTTATGGTAAAATTTAAAAATATTTTATTTTATGTCGAATTGAAGGTATTAGGTAGTCATTGAATTTAGTTATTCCACACAGTGATTGGCACTTATAAGTAGAGTAGTTGATAGTCCGTTTAGAAATGATTTGAGTTGAAATTTTATTTAAGTATGTGATTTGATTTCCCCCTCATAAACATGAAGAAAACATAGGGTTTGTGAAAAACTATTAAAATTTCTCTAGCTTTTATTCTATTTTATCAAATGAAAAATCATGACTCAAAAATAAGATATTAAAATATCGCGAATTAATTCATAACTCACATATATCATGTTTATTCATAAATAAATATTTTCAATTAGCAGGCTTTTACATTTTTATTTAATTAGCAGGCTTTTACATTTTTAAATACTAATACTTTTTAGATCCATTGAATCAATAAATTAACAATACTACTAATAAAGTAGCTTTTTTTGATATAATCCTCTCACGTGTTGCCATTCATGGCGAGTGTGACTTTTCTTTTTCTTTTCTTTTTTTTGCAAAATTTAAATTATGGATTTTTTCTTTTATAAAAAGTATATATACTTGAGTAAAGTTTTACATTTAAAAATGAAAAAGTGGACAAAAGTCCTTCTAATTTATAGTCGGATTTTTAAAAGTACATTCATATTTTACAGGATCTTATTATTCTATAAATTTTATAAAAACTGAAATTATTACTCCTCTCTAAATGCTTATCTAACAAAGTGAGCAACCAAAACAATATTAATATTTTGTTTTAAATATATCATTTATATGTATTTTTAATTATTATTTAAAAAATATATGTATTTCTTTCTTCACCATGGTAGCATATGTCAAATCTCTCCACCGCTTATCGTTTTAAAATTGTTGCGTCACTATCACCATCTCCACCGAATTCATTATTGTAATTTTTAACAACTCTCATGTAAAAATTTTGAAAAGAAAATCAAATCATCATCTCCAATCACCAAAAAAATCATTTGAATCAAATTTGAAAAATTAATCTGGGTTTAACTGCAATTGAATGCTTATAAAAGGAAAACATAGTTTCTACTTTTAGTTTCTTATCCCTTGTGTGTGTTTTTAGTTTGTTTTTTAGATTTTCCGACAAGCAATTACCTTCTCTTGGTTATAAAAACTCTATCATATAGACTTATAGATTGTGTCAATACCCATGAACATTCATCAGTCCCTTCACCCGATTTAACTTATTTTTTTTTCCTTTAGTGGTAGCTTAAATTAGACTCATATTGATTTTGACGGTGGTGTCAATGTTCTTTTTTTTTCGAGCTTTATTTTTTAAAAGAAATGGCGGGGAGCTCTTTGAGTATGTGGAGGAGCTAATGGTGAAGGAGAAATAACAAAAACACTGGTAGAGATTATCGTGACAACACAATTCTCAAACTATGCCGGCGGTAGGGACTTACCCCTATGGAGAAGACAAAATAAAGAGATCCCTAATTTAACCTCCAATATTTTTCTCCAAATTAATTAAAGTTTTCTGAAGAAAGAAAAAAAAATCTTTTTAAAAAGAAGATCAATATGTAAAATACACGTGTCAAGCACACGAATTATAGCAAAAGACAAATTTGGTTATGATGTTTTAAGATGTTCCTTATTTTATTTTAAAATAATTCAGAGAGAAATAGAATTTCAATAAAGTATGAGTGTGTAATTAAAAATCCAGCTATAGGTTAAAAGGATTTTTGACCTTTTTTCTCTTTTAATAGAAATAAAAATCTTACGTTTTGAAATTGAAATTTTTTAGATCCTAAATTCTAAATAGTTTATCACCTCATTTTAGATTTATGATTAAAAAAAAAAAAATGCTTGAAATGCTTTCTTAAATTTAAAATGCAAGTTGAGATTAAATTTAAGGGAAAATTTTTATATATTGGCAAATTAATAAATTAAATTTAATGTTATAACTACACTTTGATTTAGTTGTGTCCTGTAACAAACTGTTTGTTAATGACCTCCCTCCCTTAAGCTCTCGCTCGCTCCCTCTCACTTTTATATAAACACAAGTGTATAAAACACATTTTTTTTGTATAAAGCAAGAAAAAAATTGTATATATACATATATTTTCGTTCTCATCTCCCATATCTCGGTCGGCACCCTCGCCTCTATCGCTAATGCAAATAGAGACAAAATGTATAAATTATGTTTCTGTTTGTATAAAGCGAGAGAAAAAATGTATATACACTTGCAAATACATATATTTTCGTTTTATACACTTATAATTCTACAATACAAATGTTCCCCTGCCCAATTTTCTTTTGTATTTCTCTCTTTTTCGTTTTATATTACACAAATTATACAATTGGTTTGTATACAACTACTTTCTTTTGTATATGTATAGCGAGTTATACAATTGGTTTCTTTGTATATTTGTAGCGAATTATACGTATTTATATTTGTTATAGAGCGCAATTATGCAAACTTTCTTATAACATACAAATATAAATTTCGAAAAAGGATCAAAATTGCCCCTAAATTATGCGAAATAGACCACTTATACCCTCCATTACATTTTGGGATAAAAAATATCCTCGCTGTTATCCCAGGAGACCACAAGTATCCTCAAGAGTTACACCCCAATTTTTAGTGACGTGACATGCCACATGAGACTAATGGCAGTGCTTAGGTGACATGATTAGTCCCGCGTGGCTTGCCAAGTCAATAAAAGTAGGGGGTATTAACTCTTGAGGGTATATGTGGTCTTTTAGGTTAACAACATGGACTTTTTTTATCCCAAAATATAACAAAGGGTATAAGTAGTCTATTTCACATAGTTCAAAGGCAGTTTTGATCCATTTCTGTATAAATTTTGTGTTTGCTATATGTGAAAGTATAAAAGTAGGGGGTGTTAACTCTTGAGGGTATATGTGGTATCTTAGGTTAACAGCAGGGACATTTTTTATCCCAAAATATAACAAAGGGTATAAGTGATCTATTTCACATAGTTCAAGGGTAGTTTTGACCCATTTCCATATAAATTTTGTGTTTGCTATATGTGAAAGTAGTCCTAAATTTAATTATATTTTAAAATAAACTTAACCCCTTCATTTTTATTTGAATAAAAATAAACGATTTAAGTAAAATTATATATAGAGTATATTTATCTTTTAAATCTATCATCGACAAATAAAGTAGTAGTAAAAATTTATTCGGGAAAAAGTGAAATGAATAGTTAAATTTGGGGGCATAAAATGAAGAATGAGTTAAATGTAATTTCATGGTGCCCGCCAATTTCATCTATTTCCCTCTCTCTTTCTTCAAAGCTTGAGCGGTTTATCTCGAATTTTCCGTAGGGTTCTTCTCTGATCGCTTTCAACTTTCGATAACAGAGAAACCTAGCAATGTCATCGTCACTCCATACTGAAGATTCTCAATGGAAAAACCCTAGCATTTATAGCCGCAAGGACAAATCGCTCGGTCTTCTTTGCTCCAAGTAATCTCTCTCTTCTTTTCTTTTGCATTTGTGTTTTATGCCTGATTCATAGTCCTAAGCGTATCTACGCCACAACTCGATCTTAGAACGAGATGTTTATGTGAAATACGTAGTAAGTATACTAGTCGTGTTAGTGTAAGTGATTGATTGATGAGAAAATGTTGATGCTCGAGGAATTTTAGGGTTTTGAAATAATTTTGACTTTAAGATTCTGATTAAGGGTGACGAATTAAATAAATTCTATATGGAAACTAAAGAAAAATCCTTAAGAAGCACAAACAGATCCAAGATTTGAATTTATGGGTTGCCATAGCAGTTTCAAGTTGATATATCATATTAATTGAGTTCACGATTAATAAATATTTAGTGGATATACATAGAATTCTTGAAACTTTATACATTTATACTCCCTCTATTCCAAAATAAGCGGTGTTTTAGCCTTTTATTTTGTTTCCAAATAAGTGGTGCATTAGGATTTCAAAAAGGAATTGACCTTATTCTTCCATGTTTTAGGATTTTAAGAAGGAATTGATCTTATTCTTCCAAAATTACCCTTCTTTAGTAGTTTTACACTACTAAAGAATCATTTTTTTGGATGACAAGGGAAACTCGCAGTAGCTACCCTTTGGTTGTGCACTGCGCACACGGTAAAAATCTCGCTCCTATGCAATAGCTCGTAAATCACATAGGAGAGGTAACTCACACTAGACAAGTCCGGTGCAACGAGCTCAACCCAGAAGCAAACCCCTTGCTTCCGCTGGCAAGGGGTTTCAAACTTGAGACCTCCAATATGGAAGTCCCAAGCCCAAACCACTGGGCCATCCCGAAGGGGTACACCATTAAAGAATCATTTCTTTCTTCAAGGCATACATTTAATTAGAGGTAAGTTTCTAAGGCATTTAATTAGGGGTAAGTTTCTACTTATTTTTGAACTGAGGGAGTATACCAGAATTTATTAGGATTCCCGTGAACCCACACACAACATGGATCTGCCTTGGGGTCGAGAGTGCAAATGCTCATAGTTCGATTGAATTCAATTGAACGAACTCAAGTCATAGTCTCATAGACATTAGTTTCGTATACTCCCAACTCAAAAACACTCTATAAGGAATTAAACAAAACCAAGAGAAGTTTAATAGATATCATCATGACAATCAAAGAGAAATGCTCGGATTGGGAATGAAGGGTTTTATCCTCTCTTTTTTTTCCCATTCTTTCTTCATCTCCTCTCTTCGTGAGCTTCCTCAAGGGGTTCTCTTTAACTTGGAGCCGTAAATATGTTTATAACCTCCTTGGAGTCACTTTCTATCGGAACCTTCATGTTTATAGAATGCAAGGAAGTCCTTTTTTATAGCGACTTAGGGACTTCTGGCTGGCTTAATTTGTTGGAGAGACACGTTGTTGGTTTTCTAGCTCAGCAGCTCTGAGCAACTATTTTGCAAATCTTTAGGAAATTGAGCATGTCCTTTGTAGGAGTTTTATCATGTCTCAGGCTCTCAGCTCGTTGGAAAGTTTTGAATATTAGTTTTTGAAGTTGAGAGATTTTTTATCTGGTATATTGATTGTATGTTCTTTGTCAATTTTTTTTGTTTCCTTCATCTACAAAATTAGGTAGAAATGTGTGGAGGAAGCTGATGATATGCCTTAAAAACATAAAAACCCAAGTAAAAGATCTGTACTTTTTCACTATAAATCAGCATATCATTACTTTCTTGACCTGATAAATTTTGTACTATTCAGTTTCTTGAAGCTATGTGATCGGGAAGGGGTGGACTCCACCATTGGTTTGGACAATGCTGCAGATCAATTAGGTCTTTGCCCTGTCTTCTCATCTACAAGTCCTCATTTTGTCTTCCCAACCGTGTCAACACCAATACGCAGATTTCTTTTTGAATATTATCACACAGAATCTCTTTGTGGTTGTAGGTGTCGAGAGGCGTCGCATTTATGATATTGTCAATATTTTGGAAAGTGTTGGGGTAATTCTTTATCTTTGGATCTTCCTCTCATAATCTTTATATGATTGAATGACTAAGGCAATTTATTTCAGGTTTTGTCAAGAAAAGCTAAGAATCAGTATAGATGGAATGGGTATAATGCAATTTCTAAGGCTGTAGATTTGCTTAAGGTAGTTGATATGCATTTTTCCTTGTCTCATATGAACATGTGCTGGGAATTTGATATTATTTGCTTATTTTGTAGAAAGAAGGACTAAAAGATCTGTCCACTGTCTCCTCCACTTGCCACAATGTTTCAAATGTATGTACACCATGTTCTTTATTTGTCCACCCTTCACCACAATGAGCCATCTATGTAGGGTGATTTGGAGTGGGACTGTAATAGTTCAAATGTGGATATTCTCCCATTAGTTCACTCAGTTAGTTACTTTGGTTTGCTCTGCGATTGCACCTTCTTCTACTAGGTCATAGCTTGTAACAATTCAGATGTTAAGGAAAAAGGAGAAGGCAAGACTGCTGGATCACATAAAATTGGTAAGGTCTTCTCTGTAGGTGTGATGGTTGTTGTTTTATAATTGATTTTTTTCCCAGTGGAGGGAACATTATTCTGATTTTCTAAAGAACTGCTGGATGTCATATATCACATTCAATATTTAGTGAGACTAACTTGAGGTCTGATTATGTAGACAACCGGAAGGAGAAGTCTTTGATGATTCTAGCACAAAATTTTGTAAAGCTTTTCCACTGTTCTGATGTAAGTGGAGCCGTACAGTTTTTCTGACTAGTTGTCAACTGTTTGCAAGCTAATGCCTTGTCTTCTGTAGGTTGACTTGATATCTCTTGACAAGGCTGCATCAGCTTTGCTTGGTGATGTCCACGATCCGATGGCTATGAAGAGTAATTCATGTTCATAATATGTTGTTATGTTTAACTTATGATTGAAAATTTGACAGAAAACTTGTTATCTTTCATAAATATGTTGCAGCAAAGACCAGACGCTTGTATGATATTGCAAATGTTTTTGTGTCCATGAATCTTATTGAGAAGGTTGGTTATATAGTTTGAATGATCAGTAACTGCGTATTCTCAAAATAATGAAATAGAGGATTATTTCTTCTGATCTTTGCAATATATATGTAGATACGCAGCCCAGATAATGGAAAACCAGTGTTTAGGTGGATAGCCTGGAAAGAAAATCTGAGGAGTGGGTCCCTTGCATCTGCTAAATCAGATGATTCAACAAGGAGAACTTTTGGGGCAGAGATCACGAATACAACTCCCAAACGATACAGGGATGATTCTTCATCTGATGTAATGTCAAATGGGCAGGTAAAAAGGTTGAAAGTTGCAAAAGATGATGAATTGAAAGATAAAAAGCAGGAGATATCAACAGAGCAGCTTAATGAACGTGGTACAAAGGATTTTGTATTTGGTCCTTTTGGTCCATCAAGTCTGCCTAGATCAGGAATTTCTGGAAAAGAAAATTTGAAACAGATTCAGAACTGGGAGGATCTTGCATCTAAATATCACCCTCAGTATCAAAATAAGGGTAATTTCTGAATCTCATTTGAATAAGTTGAATACCTTTTATTCTACCATTCCAAGTGCGGTAGGGAGGAGCGGCTGGCACCTTTCTTGGGCTATATTCTCACATATGTTGGTCCAGAAGTATACTCATTTCACAGGCTCCTCATATTAAGGCAGGATCACACGTTGAACCTTTTTCTATTCCCATCTCCCTACTCCTCATGGACAAAAGAAAAAGAATGAAAAAAGATATTTGTATACATTTTTGTGGTCGTTATTTCCTTTTTATGCTGCTCTGATTACACTTCTATTGAGCCTAGGGTCTATCGGCTATAGCATGCCTTTGAAAAGGTGAATCAGCTCTGATTAACTGTTCTGCCATTTTAAGAGTTACCCATGATAGACTACATTTCTTGAATGGAAGTACAGTTTATCCAATTTCTAGCACCCAATTCAGCTACTGTTAAGAGTAAAAATTGTTTTTCTGTTCATGTGAATGTATGTTTATATATCCATGTAATTATTACATTAATGAGGAGGTTGAAATATTTCCATTTGCCAAATGTTACAGCTGCAAATGAGCTTTTTGCTCATTATGTTGAGGCATGGGAGTCGTGGCAGGTTGAAGCTGCCAATGAGCTGCACAAACAACATGAACATTAATGTCATCTTGGATCTTTTTTTATTTCAGATGGTAGCAAACACGTTCAACAAGGACATCTCTGATGCTGTTACTCTCACTAGAGAGATGGCGGTAATTGGTTGAATATCTCCTGCATCATGTCAGTTAAGTGTGCGGCATATTATCAGTTTGTGATATCCAAGCCCTTTAGTAATATTCCGTGCCATTGCAGTTCCCAGTTCTATCCGATGAGTTTCGTCCACAAGTTCATGGGAGACGATCAATCTCTCCTACATGCTTGAATTTTTTTTTTATGAGCTTACTAGGGTTTTAAAAGGCAAATATCTGCTACAATTGATGGTTGTATCTGTGTTCCGGTTCCTTCACTCCTATTAAACCTCTTGAAGCTATCCCAAACTGAACTTCAATTTTATTGAGCTAAATTAATCGCATTGTATATATGATGCAGACATCTTACATCTTTGCTTGTCATCCCACTGTGGGGGAATGTAAATTAGAAATTGAAATATCATTGCATTTCATTGTGCAAGGGTGAAATATGCTGTATGTTGCGTAACTTATGTATGATATGGATATATATTATTTTAAGCTTGGATCTGACGAGAGTCTTATTCCTCTAAAGTGTGCCTAATCCTACACGCACATTTTGCAGAATGGGTAGGTATACTTTTGAAGTTCAATTGCTTGCAACCATTAGTGAGTTTGACTAACTCAAGCCCATGTACAATGTGGACTTGCCCTATTTTAAATGGTGAGAAATTGAGTTCATGAATTGAACATTTTTCTTCAAATTGATGGTAAAGATTCTACTCGAATACCTCAATATCAACCGATGTCGCACTACCACTACCATGGGTTTCAAGCGTTGGTAGTACAATTATGCAGTCCTCTCTGAAACAGAGTCTATAAAAGTACTCCTAGCATCGCACATTCAAAGGCTTCGTTGTAGAGCTAATCATGAGGTTCACTGTCACATGAATAAGATAGAGTTAGGAAAGAAGTTGGTTGATAGACTTGGTGATAATAATGGTGAAGGTGAACCATTTATCACTCTCCATTTAAGATACAAGAAAGTAGGTGTGTCAAATGAGCGGGTTGAGTTAAAGTTGGAGATATTAAATTGAGTTGAGATAAAAAATCGGACTGGGTCATGACGCGTCTAAGTTTAATTTGGACTCAAATGGGCTAAAAAATGAATTGGATCTTGACCCGATGAGTCAATAATTTTGACATAGAGATATTTAATTTTTATAATCACAATTTGAATTTCCGCTCAACATTTTTTAAAGTAACAAACGGATAGATAAATTCTAAAAAAGTAAAATTGATACTAATTCGTACCTTTAATATAGGAATATATCTTAGTAAAAGAGTTTTAAAACAGGTTAAAATTGGAGATTGAATTGAGTTCAATTAATGATTTTCTTTAAATGGATTGAGATTGACACGCTAGCTTTTACTAGCTGCAACAACAAATTTGACAGTTGAAGAACTTCGTAAGCCTTGGTTCCCTAGGGAAAGAGAAGGAGATAGACAGCAAGAGAGAGGGAGGCTTACATGAGCAGAATATACATTGTTGCTGGGGAGATATATGGCAACAACAGCATGGATGAATTCCGTTTGCGTTCTCTCAGTCCTGCAACAACTTGAGGCTTTAAAGAATTTCAAAACCATATTGCTGGAGTAGACTACTATATAGTAGCCTTTGAAAGTGATGTTTTTGCTTACACTTACAATGGCAATATGGCTAAGGCTGTGTAAAGTCATACAAGGTTTGAAGGATTGCAGAAGACCAATAGGCCTTACAGGTTCAATTTTGTAGGGATTGATCGACTCGTATATCTCTTTGGAAGAGTTTGCTTCAAAAGTTAATGTCTTACAATCCAACAAATTAGGACTTAGTCCCCAGACAAGCCGGTGAATCACCAAGATTAGAGGAGAACTTTTATGCAAATCCTTAATAAGGTTATTTATGTAACAGATCAACGGAAGAAGCCAGTAAACAACTACTCAACAAGAGACCAAGTTTTGAAGGTTGCTTCACAATTTATGTATGACATGTCCTTGTTAACATTGGCATGTCTGGCTTTGCAACCAAAAGAAGCTAGAAATGTGGTTTAGCATTGTTCTCCCATAATGCTTGCATTCAATTTGTTTAAGGGAACTCAGAGGAATCCCAATGCCTATAGCAACAGATACTTGGTGAAACTAGGTTAAGTTCAAACTAGGAGTGCACTACTTATAAGAATAACAAACATAAAACAATAAAAAGAACAGACCTATAAGGAAGTAAATCTCATGGAAAAAAGAAATAGAGTATTGCTAAAAGAATGTTCATTTGGGAAAAAAAAATTATGATACTAGAATGGAACATCATACTAAGAGGAGAAAAGGTATATCAATTTCATATTAAGCATATGTCCTCATCATTAGAAGTAGGAAATGAAGGAACGTAAGAATTCATTCAAGAGCCTCACCGCCCACTTGCCATATTCTCAGCAACCCACCTCTATTTACCCTCAAAACATTAATAAAATCAGAACATATAATTACCCATTCTCTTACATGGTGCAATTTCAACTTTTAAGAAACAATCAAAATCAGAAAGTCTAGACCATGTGAAGGAAAATGGCCACCGAGGGTTTTATGAAAGTCAGTCCAATTGAGTGTCTTCATTTAAAATATTACAAATCACAACTTCTTATGATTAAACTAATTAACTTTTTACAGTTGTGAGAGTGGAGCCTTCAAGAACAACTCATCATCTTTCCATTCAATACCTAGTAAAATGATAAAGAATAATAAAACTTTGGAAGGGTAAATGAGTACCTTGGTGGCACCAGCATCGAGGCTGTTGAAAACCAACTCCTCAACATAGGTGCAGAACTTCCAAAAATATCAGAGCTTTCCAGATAAGGAGGCAACCACCCCTCAAAAATCCAACATTTCATTCAAATGCCTCATTCTTGAGCTGATTTATCTCTTTTGGATTTACTGAGTGTCTTTACACTTGGTACTTTTGTGAGCTCTTGGCTCTTGCTCAGGAGTTTCATCTCCATGTTGTATATTGCTTAGGTCAAATTGTATTTGTACTTATTTGTATGCAGAGGTTAGGCTCCAGCCCCCCTCTCCATCTCCTTTTGACTTATCAATACACTCCCCTTGTGGGACTTATTTAAAAAAAAACAGAGCTTGTTACTTATCAAAAGATGGAGATACATCGCGAATGAAAAACATTAAAACTGCAAATCAGAAGGGCGTGGGTTCAATATCACCCCCATTAATCATGGAAAAGTTATTGCCCCTTATGCAGAGTAAAAGGTTAAATTTGACCCTTTACCCTTTTTTCTTTAGCAAATTGAGGCTCAGATTTGTGTAATGATAAGGCGAAAGAAAGGCCAACCACGCCATAGCTGCAACACTCGGTTGCATGTGTGAGTTATGCATCTCAATTACAGGACATACTGGGTTGCCCCTCCAAGATAAAGGTTGGGCAATCTCAATGCCTGAATTTAGTTAGCCCAGAAATCATCACTGCTTCTTTAATAATTTTCATAGTCGTGTTGTTGTAGTGTAGTTGTGTGTATCAACTTATGAGCATACTTCTAAGGTGGAAAAAATCAAAGAAACCCAGAAACTCAAGTGTACTCTCTCTGTCTCTTTCTTTTTTAAGGGATGTTGGTTTGTTCTAATAAATGGAGAATCATAGGCAAAGCATAGAGAGAAAGGCAACCACTCTCCATAGAAATCCCATACTTTCTGCTGCCTCATTCTTGCCTTTTTAAGGCTAACCTAACAAAAGAGAATTCACAAAACTTGAAGCGTCTTTTAGCCATTTATTTCTCCTGAGGCTCAAATTTGTTATTAAACCAGACAAAAGGAGACAAAGCAACCGCCATGGCTGCAGATTTCGGTTGCAAAACGGAGATGCCTTAACGGGTTGCCTCACCAAGATAAGAGTAGCTCCAAGGAGAAGCAAGTATGCAAAGCAGGTCCTCCTCGCTGCATGCAAATGCACAAAATCTAAGAAACTAGACCGCTAATATCCTTAAGTTAGCTGGTATAACAAAGATGGACCTTTCAATATCAACAATTTTGAAAGAGACACTCGGATGCACAAGGGCGATGTTTAACAGAGACTCTTCAGAGAATTCAAGACCCTCATTGGCCTTCCAGATTATATATGCAAACCTAAAGATCAACCGGGATGGAGTACAACTTTAGAAGTAAAATATGTAAATCAATATTTTTTATTTGTTTGAATTGTAAGAAAATTAGAAGTACTTGGAGTGCATTTGCTACCATCGAACTGGTTGGTCGTAATAGCATCACGAACAACGACTACAAAGAGAAAAATCCCAAAAAATTTACTTATGAGCAAACAGTAGTCAACACTCAACACATGTATTATATACAGATTACCTGTTATACAATTATTTTGTCTCCAATCATCGACTCCAAGGTACAAACACTTGCCGTCTTGTAAACAACGGCAAGAACAAAGACAAAGTTAGTAGTTTTATACCTATCCTAATGGATACTACCAAGTACCAACTAAAACTCAAAAAAACTGTACCTTTAAAACCTTACAATGTCCATCTGGCCTCCTGTGATTTTAGTACCAATTTCCAACAAAAAGCATCCGATATCTAAGAGTTCGGAGCCTCTACTTTTCAGCCAAAGCTTGTGGGGTAAAGCATGCATATCATCTGAAATGTTGTATTTCGATGTCGCTGGTGTAAAGCAAGCATTCAAAACCATAGTTCAAATGGCCAGACAAAAAGGAAACACAACAGAAGATGAAAGAATCAGGCACATATACTGTCTCTATAAGCTGGGCTAAAAGTACCTAAGCACCAATATGTATGTTCCAACTCAACTTCAGCTAGAATAAGTAATTAAAACATCTCTACATACAGTAGTGAGCAACAAAAAATATATTTCATATCTCACTCTCTTTGTGTGTGTGTATATATACACACTTCCAGCCCTCCCCTTTTTGGGGACGCGGCACAGGTAGAGAAAATATATTTTAGCAAATGAAGAACCGGGAATGCAATGTACGTGAACATCTTGCAATAAAACCAAAATCTAAATCTAAAAAAATCAATGTTTTGTGCAGCCATACCAGTCCTCCCAATTACAAGTAAAATCACAAAATAATAAATAAAATAACATCTATAAAAAGATATTAATGAACACAAACCGTCAAAGAGCCTATCAGTTGAGCAATGCATGCAATTGTATAAACAACAACAACCATTCCAATCTATGAACATCATAGTTGTCATGCAAACAGCAGCAGCAATACAATAGAAAATATGACGTTAGTCCAGCATTTTGCAAAAATATCACCATATGTTTCTCTCATAAGCACCTGTCCATCTCGTGAGACACCATCAAAAGAAAGTACAACTTCAGGTGATGAAGCACAAACTGAGCAGAGCTTTCTGCACATCAATATCAAAGAAACTAATACTTAACATTGTCATCCACCTTAACATAGCAGGTCCCAATGCCTATAGCAATAGATACCTGCTGGAGAGTGGAAAGTGGAAACTTAGGATTACACTAGTTATAAGAATATAAGAATAACAAACACAAAAGAACAAGAACAGTCTTGTAAGGAAGTAATGGTAACCAAAGGAACATAAGAATTCATTGAAGAGCCTCACCGATCAATGCCATTTGCGCAAGCAACACACAGACTCACTGGTACGATAAGTCTAAACAATTAAAACTACATGAAAGCACGACTTGCCATCGTTAGTCACTTAACTATGATGTTCCCCGCAGCCCACATCCTCCAAACATTTACAAAATCAGAGAACATGAACCATATTATTCCCCATTTTCTTACATGGCATAATTTCCCCTTTTTAAGAAACAATCAAAGTCAAAAAGTCTAGACCGGTGTAAAGGAAAATGGCCACTGAGGGCGTTAACGAAAATCTGTCCAATTGAGTGTCTTTTAGAGTTGTTCAAGTGGGGCCTTCAAGAACAACTTCACATCTTTCCATTCAATAAGGAATATTAAAACTTTGGAAGGGCACCAGCATCAAGGCTGTTGAAAACCAATTCCTCAACAACCCTTGTGAAATCATACGAGAAAACCTCTGACCAAAATAGCTTAACGCTTCCCGTCTCCCTAAAAAAAGTAAAAACAAATACTATAACTGTTGAACATCCTTAACATCAAGAATGACAAAACAATTTGTTTAAAAGAAAAGGATTTTTTGAATTTACTTGATATTTTCTATGACACATATTCTTGAAAACTACAATTTCCCTGATTTTCTTAAATATGTATCTAAGAATGTCGATGTAACTTCAAAAAGACATCAAGTTCTTGATATTTTCTTAAGAAACACGCATGCAATAATTTCAAGAAAATACAATATCATGATAATGGGAAGAACAATAGCATTACTTAGCAGATAGATTGATTTAGGGCTTTGATCGAACAACGTCAAATTGTCAATGGACAGTTAAGAGCAGCAATTCGGTGGACTACTCTAAGATGCGCCGGTAGCGGATGGAAGCTCCGGTTCTTTAATTTGAAATCAGAGGAAGAAAGGCGGTGGTGACGTCTAAAATGCGCTACTTTTATAGTTTCCAAAAGAAAAAACTTTTTGTAAATACACGCATTTTTTTTTTTAAAAAAAGATGGTTAATACAAAATAAATTACTTTTTGTTAATTTTTATCCTAATAGTGCCCATTTATTTATTTTACTTAATTATTGATTGGTGCAAATTTCGGTGTATAATAGGGTGGTAAATGATATATTATAATGTTTAACTTTTGTTTGGTTATTGCTGTATACCAGTTGAACAATTTAACATATGCGATTTTTATAGGTCAAATAAGAATTTAAAATTTATGATTCCAAATTAAGATTATAAAATTTTTTTATATATATTAAATAGATTTTTTTAAAAAATATTGAATTTAGACCAATAAAATTAATATTTTGAATTCCCGGGTATATTATGCATATTTATATTTGTCATTCCATAATTAAAATATAATATTTCAAATAATATAAATATTTTTATACTAAAGAAATCACAATTTTATATTTTAATAAACTAAAAGTTAAATGAATATACCAAAAAACAAATTTGAATTCATTCATCTGTCAAACAATAGTTGTCCATTGATTTTGCACTTTTTTTAAAAAATTATAAATAAAAGAATATTTTTATTAGATCACACTTTAAATATAATAATTAATATAATGTCTTGAAAAATGTTATGAAAAAATTACTATAATTAATGATAATAATAAATTAGAAACTAAATAATAGTGGAAAAAAGGATATATAAACTCTCAAACTATCGTAAATGGTATGTCAATATCTTTTGTCATGCTTTTGGGACAATGATGTCCCGCCGTTCAAATGCAAGAGCATATATACCTTTTATACTAACGAATATACACATGTCATACCGATCCAACATTTATTAAGTATCGGATCGACGGATAAGATTGTGTCACGTATCCCTATTTAATCTAGATTGTGTCACGTATCCCTATTTAGTCTTCTGTTAGAATGAAAGACAAATACTCTAATTTTTAAACGATAAAAACACCTATATTCAAAAAGTATAACAGAAGTTATTTGCATACTATTCAAGATAGTTAAAAAAATATATTTATCCTTTTGCCCAATAATAGTTCAGCGATTCAAAAAAGCTATTAAGTTGAGAAAAAAATTGAAGAGCAATGTCTCTCTTTTTTTATTTTGTAAATTTTCCTACTATACTAAGATTATTTCTCTGATTACAATTTCTCTGATGACGATAATTATACCCTTGAAGTTAGCAATACAAATAATAACAATTGTGATCATCATTATCATCCTTTAATAAAATATTTCCTAATTTTTAAAAAATATGATCTAATTTGACTTGGAATGAAGTTTAATAAAAAAAAGAATAATATTTTAATTTTGTAGTTCTAAATTAAAATTATGTCTAATTTACCAATATGTCCTTTAATCTTGTGGTCTTAAACATGCCACGTAAAAAGTTAAAGTGTTGCCAAAAAATAAAAAAGTCATTCTTTTTTAAGATAAAATGAAATAAGATCATTCTTTTTTAAACGGACAGAATAATTATTGATTCAAAAGAAAAGTATTGTTTTTGTTTTTAAAGTAGAAGAGTGGTTTTGAGCATTGGTACAGTCTAAAGAGCATAAATTGTTGCAGGAGAAATTTATGGTAACAACAGCATAGATGAATTCCGAATGCGTTCTCTCACTTAACCCTTGCAACAACTGAAGACCCCAAGGCTTTCAAGAATTATCAAAACCGTCTTGCTACTCTAGACTATATGATAGCCCTTGAAAGTTTATGTTTTTGTTGTGCAAAGATCATAGAAGATTTGAAGGATTTCGAGAGACCAATAGCCCTGACAGATTGAATTTTGTAAGATTGAGGGTGAAATCTCTTGGGAAGAGCACCTTACCTCAGACAACCACAAAGATTAGACAACCTTCACGTATCCGGAAAACAACAGTTCAATATCATATGAAAAGATGTGCCCTGTCAAAAGAGAGGGGAACTTGTGGTTCTGATTACATTTATTCAAGTTTCTTTCAAATATCTTTTAGGGCCAGAAAAATGCATTTCATGTCTATCTCATTCAATGGAAAAGAAGACAAAGAATAATGGTGTTAATCCAAATTAAACTTGACTAGGACATTAGTTTGGATTACTGAAGAAGCCGTTGATTGATGGCATAATCTCCGGAGACTTGTTTCGAACAAACTTCCTTAGAGCATGCTCTGAATATTTCTCCCCTTCTGAAAAATTATCCAGCACTCCTGCTGCCCTGTTTTCCTTTGTCACCCTGAGAATTTTGCAAACATCAAGACACGGTCAGTAGGGTGTGGGGGTGGATGCAACTTGCATGTGGAGAGTTCAGTAGGGGTCAACTGAATCACCTATCAAAAGATAATATCGTGCAAATAGGGTAAAACTTATGTCAAATAAATAAATTTGGAATCGTATCTAGTGTAGTAGCAAATGTCGCTCAAAAATTGCATTCGGTCACGTGTTCTAAATCTCGGGTGTGGCTTTTACACTTTTCAATAATCTCCTTCATAATATTCCAAACGCTGCCACAGCTAAAAAAGATGCAATCTAGTACAACACAACTTAAATATGGGCGGTTTCATTGCCTAGCAGATGTTATACCAGTTGATCAACTGACTTGATTTGTACCACCAACAAAGAATCAAACAAAATTGATCCAAAATTAGAGAAATTTTACCAGGTTTTCCCTCTTCCGTTTCTCGCAATTGTAACCTCATATGTTGCTTTAAAGTCATACCAGTTAAACTCTTAGAGGCTTTCCTTCTTTATCGAATAATTGATTGTCAAAGAATCCTCATGTAGATCACAATCAGTGGTGGATCTATGTATTACTAATTGGTCCAGTCAAATCCAGTAGCTTTAGTTGGCTCGAAGTATGTGGGTTTTAAATTCACTAAATAAGTACCATAATAATAGAATTCGAAACAAGCAAGTCAATACAGGAAATCTTAAAAATTGAATCCATTCAAATGTTGAATCCATCTCTAACCCAAACATATACATATATCCTTTCATCAGCATCTAAACAAACAATAAACATAAAGGAGGCATGCAGTTTTTAGGAAGATAAATAAGGGTAGATCAATCACTCGTTTTCTTTTTTAAAAAATATGTATGTTTATATGAAAAGGGAAAATGGCTCGACCTATAATATACAGATTACAGGGTGGTGGATTGGGCAGCCTACCAATGGAGTTAGTTACCTTGGATTGTTAAATCAATCGATCAACTAAGCCTAAAATTCTAAGCTATCACATGAATTCTCTACATACATGCCCGATCTAGTTCTCGAATTGACGTGACAATCTTTAATTCGACAAAGTATCCAATTAAAGCTGGCTAAATCAAATTAACACAAATTAGACAAGGCATAAACGGATATGAAGAGGTTACCTGACTTCAGGGTTGGTGCAGATATTACGAACCAATTGCATTCCACAGATCCCTACAGCAACGCCTACGGCTGCAAAAAGTGGATACACCTGCGCCACCACAAATATAGAAGATATATAATCACTCAGATCTAATCGCTAAACCAACATTCAACCCTTAAACAAGAAAAGCCCCCAATAATCCATTAAAAATCGCCGATATCATAGGAAGTTTTTAAAAAATCTTTATAATAAGGAAATAGAAGGGAGGAGATCTATGGCGGAAGAATAAAACATACCTCAGGCCTCAGCCATCGATTAATGGTGGAAGAAGCCATAGAAAAACGGGGGAAAGAACATGCAAACTTTACGATCTTTTTGAGACTGTTGATGATGATGACCTAACCTGTTCATTTCGCCCCCTACCCTATTTATATTCTCGCGATATCGAAATTCTTCATTGACTGCAATTTGCATTGCTTTCAATTTACGAAAAGGCCCATAAAGTTTTAAAAAAAGTCATTGAAGCTCTAATTTTTTTTTCAATTTCTAGAACGACTTGAAAAGTTTTTTATGATACATAGTCAAACATTAAATACGGTAAAATCTTTTTTTTTTAGTTGTTATAACAAAATTTTGTTATATAGGAATGTAGACTTTTTTCAAAAAATTAGTTGATATAACAAAATGTTATGGATATTTAATTCTTTTTTTATAAATAGATCAGATTATATTAAAATTTTCATGTAGACATATATATTTTCTTTACTTCCTTTTAATTAAGTGAAAATGTAAACTATTATATATGTTTATAAAAGATAAAATAAATAAAATAAACATCTCTCTAGCATTTGATTTGTAAAAAACAATTTTTAAAACAAAGATCTTGTGATATTTATGTCAACATTCCAATATTTTAGAACTTGTTTTTACATTATTAAACTAGGTACATAGTTGTAGTTGGCTAATTTGCTTATATATTTTTTTTAGAAAAATGACACAAAAAATAAGAATAAGAAATTACGTATTGATATTTATCAGTGTGTTATCTTTCGATGAACGAATGAAAATTAAAATCCATAAATTCGTAGTGTTTCTACTAACATGGGTGTTATGCAACAATATTTCAAATGTTAATCCAACCATGTTCAACAATTTTAGAGTTAAACGTCATTTTTCTTTTGGGGAACTTTAACATATAGCCACTAAAAATAGCCTAATAATTCTTCATTATTATAGTTAAATAATTGCAATTCGTAGCTACATGTTTATAGGGAGGCAAGAGGCGAGCGAGACTGGGATAGAGAGGACAAAAAGTGGGAAAGAGGTGAATTGTATATGTATATTGGTTAGATAATTGTATATTATACATATGTATTTGTATATATGGCAAGCGATATTGAGAGAGAGGAGAGAGGCGAGCGAGAGAGGACAGATAATAGGAGAAAGGTGAGCGAGATTGGGAGAAAAGCGAGCGAGGAGGGGCAAAGAGTAAGAAAAGGATAAATTGTATATGAATATTGATTAAATAATTGTATATTATACATATGTATTTATATATTTTGACGAATTATATAAATACAAACGTGGCTAATATACAAAGTTGAAATCAACCCACATCATAAATATATAATATTAGCCATGAATAATAATTATTACAACTATAACTTGATAAACTATTAAATAGTATAAATTTACTTAAATCGCATAATTTTTCTTTTTTCTTTTTTAAGCTATGAATACCATCACAACTTCCTAAGAGGCAAATTTGCACACTTTTTAATTCTAATAAAGAAGTGTAAAAAGAAAAAAGTGTCTCTAGTAGCAACAAAAGTGTTATATAACAACTGTAGTCTGTATATAATAAAATTAATAAATGCATACGATTGGACCGACCATTCTAATTGGGTGGCTCCTGGCAAAGCTACAAAAGCGTCCCATGCATGAACAAATGGCCTACTTATTTGACCATTTTCTCATTGGCCCTTCATGCGTCAAACAATTGATTCTCATTTTTCCACTTTTGCCACTACTAAAACCAAATTTGACAAACTCTGTTTGGGCCTTCATTTCGTATCTATGATCCAACATCAAATTTTATAGGGCAAATAGCATAAAGTAACATATTTTTGTATACGCCTCATCTAACTTAAAAATGAGAAATTTTAAGTATTTTTATAACTAATAGGGGATAAAAGTAATAAATGAACTCAAGGAAGGAATTTTTGTCATTTTTTCAATTTTATATAAGATTTGATATTGAAGCTTCGATTCTATTAATTTTTATATCAAATTTAATATGTAAATAGTATTACATCAAATTTAGTGTAATAATATTCATCACATCAATTCACTTATTAATTTTAACAGTATTTTACTATATAGATTTTTAACTAAACATTACATAAATAATATGTTTAATTAATTCTCTTCTATACTTAATTATTTTGTACATAATATTTTTATAATATTAGTTTTAGATATAAAAATTAACTTATTTTTATAAAATAATTTTTCTACATATGACTGTTTTAAAAAAAAATTATATTAATTCTACTATAAATTATAATCGAATATAACTATAATTAACCTTCACAAAAATTTAAAATGCAAACATATAATATTTTAAACAAATAATACAATAAAAGTAACTAAAAATAATAAGCATTTGACAAAGTAGTAATGTACATTCACCATAAATTATATATGGTGAATATTTTAGAAGAATTTGTTTTATCAAATAAAAAAATATAAATGAAATAAGAAATAACAATATACTAATGAAGAGAAAAATATATTCACTTTTGATGTAAAATACATCAAAAATAGTGTTAACACTGAATTTGGTATAAAGTTTAATGTTTGAATTTGAGATTTTCTCGTGAAATGATCTCACAAATAATGTTGTTTTTTTATGTATTAAATATTTTAAAATATTTATATAAATCAAAATTATTTAGTACGATCAAATTTATAACCGAATTTCTAATTTCAATCTTTATATGTTTGTATTTATTGTTTTTAACTGTTTGACTTAATTAACGTTATAATAATCAGACCGGTAAATATAACTTTGAAAAACACAACTACTTCTCGTTTTTCTAGAATAGCAAAATAGTTTTTATTTTTTTTTCTGTCAAAAAGATTGGTGTTTGGAAATTGAAATCAGAAGGAGTGGTTGTTTGGAATAGGGAAATGGATATAGCTAGGCAGGGAACACTTGAAACTTGTATTGACATAGGAAGGTACTTTTAAAAACTTAATATTTTCAAAAAAAAATTACTTTACAATTTAGTGAATTTTATTGGAAGTGAAATACAATGCAAAGACTATGAATATGTAAAATTTCTTATCAAACAAGCATCATATATTTTAAAATAGTTATAATACATATATATTGCATACACAATTCACTTTTAATATATATTGCAAATTTATCATAATATTGTTATGTATTGCTATAAATAATAATAAATAAAATATATGACTAAAATCAGTAATTATATATGACATTCATTCAAGTAACTTTTTCATATATAAATTATAAAATATTAATCAAAATTATAATAGTTTGACTTTAAAAAAATTATAATAATTAAAAGTGGATCGAAAAAATATATCTTTTGCTTTCAAAAGTTTGCATCTTAATCACGCAAACCCGATTATTTAAAGACATGCACATGTTTCATTTAGTTTTAATGTGGAATTTATGAATTAAAAACACTTTATTCTTTTGCATTATTAATGTTGGCTTCTCCTAATTATAATCTGACAACTAAACCTACTTTTTCCAAGTTAAGACGCCATTCCTTTTTAATAATTTAGTTAGATATCATCATATACTCAAATTGTTAGTAATTTGAGTTCGGCTCTATCTATAGCAACAGCAAACAAGGAGAGAAATGTACGATAATCATAAATATATTCTAATTATTTCTTAGTACTATAAATATTTGTGGTGAAAAAAGGATGAGTTCACTTATTTTATCATTATCAAAAAATCATAAAAGAATATAAGAGTTGAAAATAAAATATCAATCACTTTTTATTCTTAATATCAATATGAACATTTTACAAGTGACAACCACGTAAGTCAATGTTGGTATTCAAAAGTTTTTTCTATTTTTTAAAAAAGTACTTATAATAACCTGAAATGGAATAATATTTAAATAAATTTTACTTTAAGATAGACAGCTATGTTTGTTGGACCATTTGATTGATAAGGATTTACTAGTGTCTATGAGCAAGAAGACGAAATGAAAATTTACTCGACAGCAATTTCTTTTTTTTTTTTGAGTTCTTATATTTTTAATATTTTGATTATTGTTTTATCTGTAATGACGATAATTTTGAATGACTCGTCAAATTGTCTATATTGTTTATTTCTTGACCTTTTTTATTCTAATTTTTTTTATATTGCTTTAATTATATTTTTAGTGGAGAGTCTTATTGGATCTATTCTTTTTGTATCAGTAAAGTAATAGAAATGTTCGCATTATACTCTATTCTCCTCAATTTAACTTTATGAAATTGCATCAGATATATTATTATGGTTATTATTGTCCATTTGAAGATTATTATTATTTTTATTTCAAATATTTAAAAAATATTAAAAATAACTCTGATTAATATCTATGTTACAACGTAACTTAAATTTTTATTAAAAATTAAATACAATATTCTCTCTGTTTTATTTTGTTAGTATTACTTGCTTTTTAAATATATTTTCAAAAATACCTATTTTTATGCACTTAGCATCATATCCTACTTAAAGATTTCAAAATTTACATTAATTATCAAAATTCCATCAAATAAAACTAATGAAAGTATTTATTTCTTTTTAATAAAAAATTCAGGATTTTTATGTGGAAACGTCACTAAAAAAAAAGATGACCAGATTTTCAAAGATTCTCGCGTTTTACGGAAGGAGTTCACAACCAGGCATACGAGAATGGTGAATCCGTAAATAAATTGAATATCGAGGGCAATAATCGGTTAAATCAGAAGCCAACAAAAACACGAAAAGGAATTGGGTGGGATGAAATGAAAGATGAGGGGGAGAGAGAATCGAAGGGAGACGTGAGAAATTCGCCGGAGGCATCGCAAGCCACACAATAAACTAGACGAAGGAGAAAAGAAGAAGAAGAATCTCCGTCTTTAATGGCTGCCGCCTCAGCTAGGGTTTTACTCGCATCTCGTCTAGCAGACCTATCACTTAAGCCTCATCAACATCCTCCTCACCTACCCTCTCCTTTTACCCACCACCTCCTCATCCGTCCCTTACTTCCTTCTCTTTCCGCTTCCACCAGGCGGCGTACGTCCGTTAACTGCCTTATTTCCGGCGTAGACGGCGGCGGTGTTTCGGACGACTTTGTTTCCACCAGGAAATCCGGTTTCGGCAGTGAATTCTCTGTTATTGCCAATATGCTCAAGCGAATTGAACCGTTGGACACTTCTGTTATATCTAAAGGCGTTTCTGATTCAGCTAAGGACTCAATGAAGCAGACCATTTCTACTATGTTAGGCTTGCTCCCTTCAGATCAATTCTCAATCACTGTTCGGTTTTCCAAACACGCTCTCGATCGCCTCATTGTTTCTTCTATCATTACCGGGTACCTTATCTCTTCATTTTCATATATGCACAAAGTTGAAAATAGTGATTGTTAATTTGTTAAAGTTGTGGATCAATCTGAATAAGTTATGGTGTATTCGATTGGTGTTGATTTGTGGTGGTAGGTATACGTTGTGGAATGCGGAGTACAGGATATCCTTGATGAGGAATTTTGATATCCCATCAGATAATTTGAAAGGCTTCAACTCAACGGAAGAGGATGTGAACTCTGGCTCAAAGAGCGAGGGGATAGAGGGGGGAGAACGCGGAGTTGGTGTAAATATGTCTTCGGCGGTTTCAGAGAAAATGGATATTCAAGCTCTTGGGAATTTATCTCCGGAAGCTCTGAAATATGTTCAACAATTAGAAGAAGAACTCTCATCAATTAAGCAGGTGAAATTCTTCCTCTCTTTTAATCTATTCAAGCTACTGTCTGTGTTTGATTATTTGCCAACTTGGCTTGTCATTTTTAAGTTACAGAGAATTTGGTTACTGCAGGATATTCCAGTGATCTGGTATAGAGTCTGTGTGGAGGTTTCTGATATCGATTAAGAAATACTTGTGGCATTTCAACTCATGATGTTTATGGATTAATCTAAGTATTTTTTACCTTGATTTGTTAATTGAATGTGCCACTGCAGCTAGTCTATAACGTCTCCTTTTTCAGAACTCATTGATAAATGTCCGTCTGATGATTTTTGGAATACTAGCTACTCCATTACGGGTTAAATTTGAGAGGTGTAAGAGTTGTCAACCACTGAAGTTATCAAGTATGTTTGACCGAAATGCTTCCGTCATTCATGAATGTTTTCATGTAGAACTCTTCATTGTACAAGTTCCATTATGTTCATTCTACTACCAAGAGTAGTCTAAACCAAAAGCTATTTGGATTCTTTAATTGGTGCAAAACTTAATCAGTATGAAATTCTAGATACTTTACACATTTGTTAGTCAAGCATGTAAATTTTCTTTGAAGTTATGCTCTCAAAGTAGAGATTTTTAATTATTATACTAAAAATTATGAATTAGTTGCTATTGCAAAAAGTTGGTGGATGCAGTAGCTAGTAAGGTTAAGCAGTTACATTTGTGACAGCACATTATTTTAGAAAAAGTAAACATCAAAGTTTCACTTGTGCGTGAATCAAATTTCTGGATAAGTAGCGTCTAAGCCCTGCTCTCTGCAGTTCATTCTTGAAGCATGACCTTAATCATAGAATAGTTTTCAGTTGCAAATTATTTTGATAATGTTAAATGGATATTGTCAAATAAGAGTTGGTGCACAGAGGAATTATGAATTACTACGTCTTCCCCACTCTTATTCCGTTTGTTTTTATAGATATGCTGGGGGTGAGTGTGTTGTTACTTGCTTAGTTCCTACTTTATCGCTGCATAAAGTAATTAATAGTTATACTGCTGCTCTGTTTATGAAAAATCAGATCTTTGCCTATATCAAATATTTGACTTCTGGCTAATTATGTTACTTGAACTCAATACTCTTGTGTATCTTCAATAATTGAGCATTTGAATTTGCTTACATAAGATTGAGACAGTGTACCGGTTTCATTGTCCATATTTCCTTGTCATTGTTCAGCCATGCTTAAAGTTGTACAGCTGAATTCCTTAGGGTACAAACTTGCTCATTGAAACTGATAATTTGACTTGCTCATTGAAACTGATAATTTCTTAGAGTGGCACATTGCTATGTCCGTTTTGACATTGGAAGTAAAAGCTTCAGCTAAATGTTATACTGATCCTTCTCTGTTTCTCTCAGGAACTGCATTCCCAGCAACAGGAAAATTTGCAAATGGAGTATATCAACGAAAGTAACAATGATTTGCTGGAATACCTCCGGTCACTGGAATCTGACATGGTATTGTAGTTATTTGTATGTCATACTGTGTGAAATCCATGAGATTGAATCCTGATGTGTCTGCTACTGGAACAGGTGACTGAACTATCTAGACCATCATCCTTTGAGGTGGAGGAAATTATTAAGGAACTTACTCAAAACATATTGCAAATATTTTTCAAAGAGGACGATGTTAACAAAGAAGAAGATCCTAATTTTAGTGGTGCCAAAGACTATCAGAGTAGTGATTCCGAATTATGCGATGCAATAGGCACTTCTCGGGATTACTTGGCAAAACTACTTTTCTGGTTAGTAACGTGACATCTCTGTTGTTTATTACTTTATCTCTTGTAGTCACCAACTGTCTGAGCTTCTCAGATATTCTCTAGCATTATCTGAACTGATTCTTCGGAGTAGGTCAATAAAGCATCTTTGTAATTGGCAGGTGTATGTTATTGGGCCATCATTTGAGAGGATTGGAGAACAGATTGCATCTAAGTTGTGTGGTCGGCTTGTTATGAGTTTGCGAAGTACAAAGAGGGATGTACATTCTGCTTCTCTTTTACTTCCTTCTCTTATTCTCTTTCTAGCTCAATTATTTCCTGTTATTTATATAAAAATAATCCACATATCCTGTAAAATTTTGTTCTTGCTAGTCACGAGTCATTGTATGGGAGGGTGTACTGTTGAAAATGATAAATCCATTTCTCAGATCCTCTTTTCCTTGATAGCGTAAAATTGATCAAGTACACTCAATGATGCGTGCAATCTGCAGCTGATAGTTGATCCTAGCTTGCATTTCCCTTTAGCGAATTCTAATGTACGATAACCATTCGTCACATAAAAACCACTATGTATAACCTCATTGCTCATCCCCCATCAACCTTGTACAGTTGGTTGCAATAGGACTCTAACCAAAATCAAACATTAAAGGAAAGATTTTCATTGTGCACTGCATGGTAGGGATGATGTTGGGGGGGTTTATAAACGTGAAGGATGTATCGATCATTTCAATTTTACGTCTGTGAATTTAGAATGATGGAATTTCCTTGAATTTAGAGTGGTGGTTGAAAGACAAGTGTCCACACTTCACTCAGGATTCAAAATGGTTGGTGAAAAGTGGCTCTTTTGTTGGCAAAAACAAGAAGGGGCATGCTTCTTTGATTGATAAAGTCTGGTACTAATTAGAGGTTTATTTATTGGCTGGTGGGATTAGGTGAAATTATAATTCTAGCATTGTTTTTGAAGTAGTGGGGGTATTGTTTATCTTAATAATGTGGTAGGTAGTCCGAAGCTTCATTTTATATTTGGTGTCAAGATACAAGCGATCTAGAATTAGTATTTCTCGACAGAAATATCTTTTCTAAACATGTTAAATGATGCATCAGTTAGAACAAATGTATTCTTGTGGAGGAAAAAACTACGCACGAACTAATACTTCAAATATAAAATGGTGTATTATACAAATATTGGTGATACATCTTCATCCATTAGGCAGATTATAGCGGCAACAAACTTCAGCAATCCATTTATTAATTTCCAAATGTCTCGTTACTGAACCTTTTGAATCGATGCATTAGGCAGATAGTCAAGGGCAAAAGATTTCTGAATCTTATACAAAACTCTGTTCTAGAACGTGTACCATTAACTATTCATCGTACTCCAATTAAGACTTCAATATTCACAAGAGAAATTATATCTTACAATATTTTCAAAATTAAAAAGTTATCAAATGAATACTCAGATTATCACAAATATAATGAATGAATAATCGCTTTACACAAATAATTTGCTCTTATACACAAAAGAAATCACTCACAAGGGACTCATCAAAATCGTCCCCTGTACTTAATACTGGATCTAAGTTCTCACTTCTTCACAATGTAGAAAAAGAATCGCTAAAGAGTTTTAACTTCTATACACTTACTGGTGCTTAAACAATCAAATCATAGCTCTTCGCTCTTGATCGCCCAAAGAATCAATTGAGCTAAGTCTATACAGATCATAAGGCATCCATAAAAGATCAACAGGACAAGGACTCCCTTGATCAAGCCTGACCCAAGGTTTCCCTTTACCACTCCAATGCAACAAACTGACTGGACCTGGATGCAATGTTCTACAACTATTCACCAAATTATCTCCACCAAGCCCATGTTGATTCCATCTATGATCAATTCTTTCAATTTCCCCTCCAAATACCAACATAAATGGTGGCAATGATCCCAATTCATAAATCCTTTTTTCTTTCTGTATCTTCATCCATTTCTCAATCTTAACTGTATAATCCCCTTTTCTCCATTTCCCTAAATCCATAACCATCACCCCTGTATTGAAATAACAAGGCTTTTTCCCTTGAAACACATTCGATAATTTCGGGTCAGACCAAAAATTGTTGGTGAAATATGTTCTGAAATTTGCTTGACAATACTCTGGAGCTCCAATAATTTTCGAACCAGTTAAAGAAATTGACCATAACTTTTGGATGTCATCAACCAAAACAACATCAGAATCAAGATAAATTACCCTTTCAACACAGGGCTGGATGATCTCAGCTAAATAAGTCCTAGCATAGTTCAATGGATTATCAAGAGCTTGACGAATCGAAGATGATATCAGTTTCTTCACTCGAAATTCATTAAAGCTGTAAACTTTGAAACTCAGAGATGGAAATATGGACTTCACCATCTTTCTCAGGTCTTGAAAATCTTTATCCTTCGAAGCCACAAAATGGAAATAAACATTTTCTGGGCAAGATGAATGCTTGAGAACAGAGTGAACTGCTGCTACTGATCCTCTAAAATATTTGACATCAAGAGTCATAGCTACATGTATCAAATTTGGGTCACAAATTAACATATTCGTATCTAAAACTGGACATTCACGGCTATTACGATACTCTGGAGATTCAACATAATCCAAATACCCATCAATTTTTATATTTCTGGGCTTCTCAACAAAACCTCTGATAGCACTTGCTGGAAATAGAAACAGAGAAATCGACAAAAACAGAACAAAAAAGATGAGTTTTTTAGAAAGAACCATAGCAAAAGAAATTTGAATCACAAGGGAAGAAAGAGAAGCAAAGAATGTTTGTTAAAAGTAAACGCGTTTTGAAGTTTTGTGAGAGGTTGAGATATATATAGAGTTTCAGAATTTAGACGAGTATTTGCCTATTGGTCGTATCGCGTTGTTGGAACTTGAAAAGTTTTTAGGAAATCACAAACGCGTTAGGAGAATATTAATTAATTAATTATACTCTAATGTTTTTACGTTGCAGAAAGATTCTAACTTTTATTAGCACACCATCACAGACATAAGTAAATATAAAACAAGTGTACAGTTCCTTAATCCCCTCAAATACGATTCTTATATACTCCCCCTCTCATTTTATTTTGTCGAAATATTTGACGCAGCATAAAATTTAAGAAATAATGAAGATTTTAAAATATTTATTAAATTGTCTTTTAAAAAAGTAAATTTACTCTTCTTTTTCTCATAAATGTATTAGAGTACTATCTTTAGAATTAAGTGGGATCAATAAGGATAAAAAAATATACTTTTAAATACTTACTGTATAAAGAAATGTGACATTCTTTTTTAAATTGACCAAAAAAAAATAATGTCATATAAAATAAAACGAAGAAAATAGCTCTTTTTAAGTAATCATAAATCTATAAGAGAGGATTTTTCAATTTTTCTAGGACTATTGTTTTTCTTTCTCGAGTATGATTGGAATATAAATTTCTTAAACTAATACTCATTGGCTCCATATTAAGGGCCTGTTTGGCCATAAATTTTCCAAATAATATTTGGGAAAAATTTGGCAAATAATATTTGTTCATGCAATTTGTCATTATTTGGCAAATATTTTTGGCAAATATCTCAAATTTCCAAATACTAGTTTTTTCTAGTATTTGGGTCAAATATCATTATTTGGGATATTTTAAAAATTAAAACTTTACCCCAATCTTTTATCTTTTACAAAAACACCTTCTCTAGTATTTGCTTGCGTTGTATTACATCATTTTTTACGTGAACACTAAAATAGTGATGAAATATTTAGTGAATATTAAATAATGATATGATTGTTGATGAAAATTATTTAAAATTGGCTTTAGGTAACAAAGTCATTTACTTTATCTA